TTCTCACTCTCTTAAATGTATCTGATTTTTTAAAAAATGTCATTTCATTTCTTTTTTTTTGGTGGTAAGTGATCCAACTCTGGGCTTGATCACTGAAAAAATAAAGAGACAAATAACATTCAGAAGGATTAACAACAGATTCAGTGTAACAACAGATTCAGAAGGATGAATATATGATCCTGCACAAGCCACTAATATTATTTTTTCTCTTAACATATCCTCCCACAGATCAGTAGTTTGTAATGTCTGTTATTATGAGGCATGAATGTGGATGGACTGGATACCACTCATAGGATCCCTGTCAGTGATTATTTGGGTACAGTGAGGAGTTACTTTATTTCCCCCAGATGAATTAATGGCAGTCACTTATTCTAGTGGTCTTAGACTGGAGTAACTCAGCACAGGATTGTACTGTGGGGGGAAATAAAGTGGTGTGCCCATTAGATTGGGGGCTAAAATGACACTGATTATCCTAATATCTGGGGTGCAGGTCAGGTTATGTTGTTTGTTAATGGTATCCAAGATTTAAGCCAATTTACTATGTCCCACACGCTTGGTCTATTGTGCCACAGTGAAAGCCACTGAAAACTGAGCCAGTTTTTAAATGTTCTCTTCAATTTCATAAGGGACTTCTACATTCAATTATATATTGATTTAGATATAGTGTGCCTATAAATGCCTAGAGTTTTGAAGAGTAGCTTCTACTGGAGAACTTCACTGGGTATCTTTATATCAAACTCGATAGGAACGTGTCATAATCCACCAAATACACTTTTTAAAAAGTCATTATATTTTACTGGTGGTTCTACATAAACTAGGTTGCAAGTAGCAAACTCTCTGAATTAAACTGTTACTCACAAATGACATTTGGTAAGTCTTCCCCATTCTGATCATTGCTGGTTCAGGGAGAATGGCAAAACAGATATGGAAGGATAAACCCCAAAAGACGAAGTGCCTCTTCAGAGAATTATTTCCTTTTGCACTTCTTCTTTTATCCTAGTGACATTTGGAAGCAGCACCCTGAATGGATCATGAATGAGAAGAGAATAAATGTTGTCTCTAGGCAGGCCTGTAGCTACGGTAAGGGGGCTATTTGGGGCTCAGCCCCCTTACTACAACATTTTCTGCCTAATTTTTTTTTAAGTCAGTTTTTAGCATTTCTTTAAAAGTGTGTGCTCCCATGCTGTGCCATGGTGAGCAGCATGCTGAAAACAGCCTGGAGAAGCCCACCCTCTGTCCGCCCTCTGTCACTCCTCCCTGGCTTTTCCCACCATTTTTTTTAAACAGCCACGCGCCAAGAACAACCTGGAGAAGCCCGGCCATGTCCTCCCTTCACTTTCAGCCCTCCCTCCGCCTTCCCTGCCTTCCCCCCTTTATTTAAAATAGCTGTGTGCCAAGAAGAGTCTGCCTGGCCAAGTCCGTCCTCTGCTCTCAGCCTTCCCTCCAACCCTCCCCGCCTTTTCCCACTTTTAAAAAACAATCCAGAAGCGGCAGCTTGATTCACTTGGCTGGATCCTTCAAGACTTGCCCTTCAGTCTCTGCCTGGTCTGCCTGTGGAGGCTAACCCGCTGCTCCTTTAGAGCTGGGAAAGCAATTCCCAAGAGAGCTTTGCCAACGCAGGGAGTGGAGGGCGCAAAGAGACTGGATCAGCCTAAATTAAGCCTTTTCATATACTGGGCAGTAGGAGGCATATTGCCTTTAAAAACAAAACACCAACGCTACCCCAAGCCCCCTTAAAAATTTGAAAGCCCCCTGGGAAAAAAAACCTAGCTTTGGGCCTGTCTCTAGGGAGGTGATCATAAATGTTTATAAATCAATAAACCATGCATTTTGGGGGGGGGGGAAGTACATACAATTTCTTGTAACCATCAGAGAGTTCATTCTACTGTACACAATGCACCCTCTGGAGGCACTGATCAGTGAAGGTTTCCCCCTTTGTAAGAGGTTATTGTAGAAAGATCTAAAGAAATCATTAACAAAATTTTGTCTCAAAAGAGCTGCTGCATGTAAGGGAAAGACTACAGTGCTGTCATAAGGACAGCGAGGTATACTAGAAGAGTGAGTAGAGTGACATTCCTTAAGCCTGACTTTTGGGTTTCTTGTAAGTCTTTTGTGTAACACAACTCCTAATATATGTTAGCAAGTAGACACTTGTTTAGGTAAGCTGATTATGTTAGATGGGGTGTTTCATATTCAACAAATGGAATCATATCTTACATTAAAAGGAAATATGTAAACAGGTTCACAATCTGTGATTCTCTGCTGGGCAAGGAATTATGCCAGTTTTCAATGTTGTGCTGCCCTGTGTGGCTGTACTTGGGATGTACCCCGGATCCCTTGCAATGCTACAGAAGATGCTGAGGCTCAAAATCAGACCCCCTTCCTGGATGATGCACTGTGTTATTAAGAATTGGAGTTTGCCCTCCAAAACTGCCATTTATTCTGTAAACTGGAAATTATTCTGGGAGAACTCCAGACACCACCTTGAGGGTTGAAATTAGACTAGCTCTGAAAATAAGGGTAACTTCTAAGACCCAGGGCTGAAACACCACTCTATGAAACCTTCCAGATATGAATGATGTATGCATGTTTATACCTTTTTTTATATATAACTTTATATATAACTTTTTAAAAACATATAACTTTAAAAAATACAGATAAAGTGCCAAATATAAACGTGCCCGTAGTCCAACTAATATTTCACTACTAACACACTTAATTTTTCTTAAAGTGATCAACATAGCAAATCAATAAAATACAAAATTCACATATTTAGCAGGTAATGCAGTTGTTCCATCGTTTACATTGTTAATATAATCAAAAAACACAAACAATTTTTCCAAAAATTTAGATTTCCTCTCAGGGTTTTCTGCTTCCAACAGTTGTGTTGCAATTTTAACCATAACCACTATATCCCATAATTTCATAAACCACTGTTTCACTGTAGGGATCTTATCTAATTTCCAGACTGGAGCTATTAATGTTTTAGCAGTAATTAACATAAGAGAAAGTAAGTCCTCAGATGTTTGAGAAAAGGTCCCTTTATCCCAATAATTTAATAAAATGGATTCTGGTGTGTAAGGAACCTGAATTCCCAATATAGTTTCTATTTTTGCAATTATTTCCTTCCAAAAACTCTGTATATTTGGACAGGTATGTGTATACCTTTAAGTGAGCCCTCAAGGATTAGTTTCTGTGCTCCTTCAAGGCCTGTACAGGAGAGACCTCACTTAAATCCAGTGTTTAATGGTGGTTACTGTCTCTCAATGTGCATATCAGTGCTCTCCATTTGGAACAATAAACGGGGCCTGTTATTGTCATTCTCAGAGTCTCTTGTGCGTTGGCTGCACTGCACAGATCACTCCTATCTGCTCAGGGGGTATTATGACTCAGGCTAGACAGAGCTTTTGTCTGAGTTTATATGAGTCCATAAAGTGGGAGCTGGATTATGAAAAAATGATGCTAAATGCTGCCACCACCACCACCAAATATTACCATTACTAACATCTGCAGTGGTGGGATGGCCCTGAACTGAAATCGAACCACAGCGTCGAGGGAGACCAATATACCGCTGAGCTGGGATTGCAAGACTACATCTAATAGTATGCCATATTAATCTACTGAAGAATGTCAACTGAGAGCACTTTAACTGTTTGTAAGATTTTAACTTGTTTTTAAATGTTTTATGCTGACCGGGCACATTATGTCGGTAAATGTGAGCCGCCCTGAGCCTGTCAAGGGGAGGGCAGGATATAAATATGATAAAATAAAATAAAAATAAAAATGATAAAAACAAGACTTTACTATTGTAATAAAAAGGACAATTGTTATGTATTACCTTATGTAGACAGCCTGAATGGAGAATGAGCCTGAGCTTCAGTCACAAGCTCCATAGACTCTCAGTATCCTAAAATCAGCAACCTGTTTGGATACTGTTGTGGAACGGACCAATCAAGAAAGGCTATGACTTTCGGCAGGAACAAACCCTACTGGTCTTAAGCACTCACTCGTCATGATTGGGCCTTAGTATTCTAGGGGTGTGGTTTAGCTAGTTCCAAATTGTATATAAGTTGGGAATGTTCTCTGTGTGTTGATGTGTTCTGAGCTGAATAAAGAAATAACTTTTGAGAAAAGCTTCCTCAAGCCCAGTATATAATAACAATAAAATATAAATATGACAGCATGAGCCTGGGTGGATGATGGTATGGCATGCAGGGGATGTGTGTGATTCAACTTCTTTCTTATTTAGAGCTTTAAGCCCTAAACTTCCTTATCCCTAAATCCAGGTCTGTGTAAGAGTCCAAGCATGGCTGGGGAGCAGTATTCCCTGTAAGCTGAGTTAGTGTGAGCTAGCTCACAGTTTTTTAGCCTCCAGCTCACATATTTTTGTCTTAGCTCAGGAAAGATGACTCCAAAGCAAACTAATTTATGCAGTAGCCAAATTGCTCACAGCTTTAATGCCAGCAGCTCACAAAGTAAAATTTTTGCTTACAAGACTCCACAGCTTAGAGGGAACATTGCTGGGGAGACAGGTACATTATACCAGTCCCTGGAGTCAGGAAGACCCAGTTGCAAGCCCATTGTCCTCATATGAGCTGCTATTATTATTGTTGTTGTTATTTCTATATTGCCCGCAGCCAAATAAAAGAGAATGTACTTTCATTTCTTAGCAAGTCACTATGTCTCAACCTTAGTGTCCCATCCTCAGCATGGGGACAGACTCATGGAAGTAGGGGAATAATACCATCCTACTTTACAGGGCTGTTGTAAGGAATACCTGCAAAAATTATGTGATCTGCTTTGGATACTCTAACGCTCACAAACCGCTAAGCAGTAGGCATTTATTTTGTTGTTCCTTTTTGTTGTTGTTCACCAACATTCCCCTTACCCACACAGTGGCCCAATTGAGTGTGGGACTACAGTTCCCAGCATCCCTCTCAGGGAATACCGGGTAGCTGCAATTAGGCAATTCCATCTTTTCCTCTCCGTTCCGTGTGGGGGTTTCTCAAAGCAGCCGAGATACGCCGAGGCTCTCATTGCAGAGGGATCCGTGTTCCCCAAGAGCGCCTAACGCCGCAAAGCTTAGGGCGCGGGCGGCGCCCCGCGTTCTTCAGCCGCTTGCGAGGGGGAGTTTCCAGGAAGTGGCCATATTGGATTCATTCACTTGCATCAATCCAGAGAGGAGAGCAGGTTCTTTCAAGACGGATCGAGGGCCATAGACCTGCCGGAGGATCCCCTCGTCCTTTGCTCCCTGGATCTCTCCAGCCATGGCCGCCACGGACCTAGAGCGCTTTTCTGTGAGTAGCAAGACTTGGGCTCCCCTCTTGCAGGAGGGCGAGGGCGAAGACAGCACGCACGCTCCCCCGAAGCAAGCAGGGGAGGCTGAGTCTTAGAAGCTGGGGGGGGGGGGGGATGGGAGAGAAAGAAAAGTTTTCCC